ATTCCAACTCATAGTGACTCTATAGGACAGAGTAGAACTGCCCCATAGGGTTTCCAAGGAGCGGCTGGGGGATTTGAACTGCCAACCTTTTGGTTAGCAGCCTAGCTCTTTAACCACTTTGCCACCAGGGCTCCTTACAGTCTATACTCGGAGTTTTTTCTATAGGTAGCAGGAAACAAATAGATAGGCTTACTTATTTTTTTGTACCCCTTTTCTCAAATGAGGTAAATTTATACACAGTGGAATACACCAATCTTAAGTGTTCTATTCAAGGAGTTTTGAGAAATGTGAAACCTGTGTAACCAATACCCCAATCAAAATAAAACATTTCCGTCACCCCAGAAAGTTCCCTTGTGCCTCCTTATAGTCAATCTCCACTCCCTACTTTTTAATGTTATCGTTTCTATCCCATATATTATGTTTGTCTACTTGCAAATTTCATATAAATGGAATCATACAGATAGAATCTTTTGTGTCTGACTTCTTTTGGTCAACACAATGTTTTTTGTTTTTTTGGTCAACATAATGTTTGTTATGGATTGAATTGTGTCCTGCAAAATATGTGTTGTAAATGCTATTTCTATAGTTGTTGTAATCCCATTTGGGAATTGGTTTTCTTTGTTATGTTAATAATGCAGTATTAGTGCAGGGTGTGTCGTAACTTAATCATTTTTGGGATATAAAAGAGCAGATGAAACAAGCAAGTACAATTGGGGGAAGACAGACGCCACGCCATGTGAGATCTACAAGGAACCAAGAAACAGAAGCTGAAAAGAGACCGGGACCTTCCCCCAGAGCCAACATAGAGGAAAAGCCTTCTCCTAGAGATGGCACCCTGAATTCGGACTTCTAGCCTCCTAAACAATGAGAAAATAAATTTCTGTTTGTTAAAGCCACCCACTGTGGTATTTCTGTTATAGCAGCACTAGATAACCAAGACAATGTTTTTGAGATTTATCCATGTTGTTGTATGTATTAGTTAACTCATCCTTTTTTGTTTCCGAGCAGCATGATTGCATGACTAGATCACAATTTATTTATCCATTCTTCTATTTTTTTAAATTGTACTTTAGATGAAGGTTTACAGCTCAAAAACTACTGGGTTATAGAAGAAATTAAGGATGGAATAAAGAAATTCATAGAATCAAACAAGAATGAAAACACATCCTACCAGAACCTTTGGGACACAGCAAAAGCAGTGCTCAGAGGTCGGTTTATAGCAATAAATGCACACATCCAAAAAGAAGAAAGGGCCATAATCAAAACATTAACCCTACAACTGGAACAAGTAGAAAGAGAGCAGCAAAAGAAGCCCACAGGCACCAGAAGAAAGGAAATAATAAGAATTAGAGCAGAATTAAATGAAATAGAGAATAGAAAAACAATTGAAAGAGTTAACAAGTCCAAAAGCTGGTTCTTTCAAAAGAGCAACAAAATTGATAAACCATTGGCCAAACTGACAAAAGAAAAACATGAGAGGAAGCAGATAACCTGTATGAGAAATGAGATGGGTGATATCACAAAAGACCCAACTGAAATTAGATGAAGGTTTACAGAACAAATAGTTTCTCATTAAATAGTACACATATTGTTTTATGACAATGGTTAACAACCCCACAACATGTCAGCACTCTCCCTTCTCAACCTTGGGTTCCCTGTTATCAGCTTTCCTGTCCCCTCCTGCCTTCTAAACCTTGTCCCTGGACTGTTGTGTCCCATTAGTCTCGTTTTGTTTTATGGGGCTGTCTAATCTTTGGCTGAACGGTGAACCTCCGGAGTGACTACATTACTGAGCTAAAAGGGTGTCTGGGGGCCATACTTTTGGGGTTTCTCCAGTCTCTGTCATGCCAGTAAGTCTGGTCTTTTTTTGTGGGTTAGAATTTTGTTCTACATTTTTCCCCTGCTCTGTCCAGGACCCTAGGTTGTGATCCCAGTCAGAAGCAGTCAGTGGTGGTAGCCGGGCACCATCTAGTTGTACTGGACTCAGTCTGGTGGAGGCTGTGGTAGTTGTGATCCATTAGTCCTTTGGACTAATCTTTCCCTTCTGTCTTGTTTTCTTCATTCTCCCTTGCTCCTGAAGGTGTGAGACCAGTGGAGTATCTTAGATGGCTGCTCACAGGCTTTTAAGACCCCAGATGCTACTCACCAAGGTAGAATGTAGAACATTTTCTTTATAAACTGTGTTATGCCAGTTGAGCTAGATGTTCCTCGAGACCATGGTCCCTACAGCCCTCTGCCCAGCAATTTGGTCCCTCAGGGAGTTTGGATGTGTCTATGGAGCTTCCATGACCTTGCCTTGTACAATTTGTGCTGTCTTCCCCAGTACTGTGTATTGTCTTACCCCTCACCAAAGTTACCACTTATCTATTGTCTATTTAGTATTCCCTCCCACCCCTCCCATCCCTCATAACCAACAAAGATTGTTTCTTTTTGTGCATAAACTTTTTCATGAGTTTTTACAGTAGTGGTCTCATACAATATTTGTCCTTTTGTGATTGACTTATTGCACTTAGCATAATGTCATCCACTTTCATACATGTTATGAGATGTTTCACAGATTAATCATTGTTCTTTATCATTGCATAATACCCCATTGTCTGTATGTACCATAGTTTGTTTATCCATTCATCTGTTGAATCCATTCTTCTACTGATGGACATTTGGGTTGTTACAAGTTATTGGCTATAATGAATAACATTGCCTAAAGCACTCATGTACAAAGTTTTTTGTTGGTGTACGTTTTCATTTCTTTTAGACAAATACCTAGGAGTGGAATAGCCTAATCATAAAGTAGGTGTATTTTAACTTTATAAGAAACCGCCAGTTTTCCAAAGTGATTGTACCATTTACACTCCTACTGTTAATGTATGGGAGTTCCAATTGTTCCACATTCTTGCCAACATCTGGTGTTTACAATGTTTTTAATTTTAGCCCTTCTAAAGTGTGGGAAAGGAGCCCTGGTGGTGCAATGGTTAAGTGTTCCACTGGTAACTGAAAGGTTGGTGGTTCAAACCCACCCAGCAGCTCCTGGGGAGAAAGACATGGCGATAAAGATTATAGGCTAGTGTCTTAGACTGGGTTCTGTAGAGAAGCAAAACCAGCATAAATATATACGTAGAGAGAGAGTTTTATATCAAGGAAATGGCTCACACAGTTGTAAAGGCTGGAATGTCTCAAGTCCGTGGATCCGGATAAAGGCTTCTGATTCACGTAGCTGTAGCAGCTGGTGAAACCAAGATCGGCAGGTCAGAGCAGGACGCTTGCTCACAAGGCTGCGAAGATCAATGAATCCCAAGATTGGAAGGCAAGACCGCAGGTAAGCTGCTAGCTCAAGTCCCAAGAACTGGAGGTCAGACAAACAGGAGCCAGCTGCAGTATCCAGTGGGAGCAAAAAGCCCCCAAGCCCTGCCAGAATATCCATTTATATTCAATGCAGGCCACACGCCCAAGGAAACTCCAATTCAACTGATCGGCTACTCACAGCAGATCCCATCATGAGGGTGATCACATATCAAATCTCAACACGAAAGTGATCACAACATTATATGACTGCCAAAACACTGAGAATCATGGCTCAGCCAAGCTGGCACACAGTCTTAGCCATCACAGCTAGGAAACCCTATGGGGCAGTTCTACTGTCACAGGGGGTCCCTATAAGTAGGTGGGAAGTAGTATCTCATTGTGGGTTTAATTTGCTTTTTCCCTGATGACTAATGGTGTTGAATACCTTCCATGTGCTTGCTATTTGCATATTTTCATTTGTTAAGTATCTATTCAAGGTTTTTGCCCATTTTTGTTCAATAGATGACATGATATGAAGTATATTTAAGTGATATTTATTGACACATTGTGTTGAAGGGAATTAATATTTACTGACACATTTTAAATAGGCTTAAAATAGAATTATTTATGCATTCTGTCACGGGCAACTGAATGAAACTGAAATCTGGAAATACCTTGGATATGTGAGGTCTGATAACTTTAAATCACATCTTAACCCGTGGTGTTTAATGTATGTCAAGCTCTTTGAGGGTGGGATTGTGTCTTTTCCATTGACTAAGGGACAGATCTTTATGATTAGAAGGCAAAGACAACCCATATCAGTGATTGAGTTTACCTGGGACTGAGCCAGGGAGCAAACCAGTATCATGTATGCTGAGGTGAGGTTTTCTGTTTCTGTATTTAATACTAGATGCCATCAGAGAAACTACAGACACATCATGTATTTTTGAGTTTGGATGCGGGAAATGCGTCATGCAGTGTGTCCTGGGGTCAGCTGTGCAGATAGGATGAGTTCCATGTGGGCTGTGTGGGCACTTGTTTGCAGTTATATCCCTAGAGCATAGCTATAAACACAAAACGAACCCGTTGTCATGCAGTCGATTCCGACTCATTGCGACCCTATAGGACTGTGTAGAACTGCCCCATAGGGTTTCCAAGGAGAAGCTGGTGGATGTGAACTGCCAACCTTTCGGTTATAATACTTTTCAATTCTGGTCGCGCCTGTAAATCATTCGTGTGCTTTATTTTTAACAAAGATGTCCACGCCCATTTCAGATCCGTTGCTTGTCAGTTTCTTCGTGGATGGCACCCAGCACGCATAATTTTGAGCATAAGCTCCTAGGTGATTGTGACGTGGGTCTTCTATGTGAACCTTGGACCTATGCCCACAGGAACGCCTGACTGCGTGCCCATGGGCAGGCCAACCTCCAGGCCTGTTCCAATGAGGAGTTCAGGCAGTTGACGTAGATAATACGTTATCTTCAAGCATCGTTTTTTTCTAAGATTTAAACGTTTAACGAGGGTCCTTTTCTTCTAAAAAACATAGTAAGGGACTGGGCCGGGAAGGATCACTTTCCAAAAAGACGCTGAAAGGTGAGGGGTACGCATTAACCCGCTACCTCCGGCAAGGCGCGCGCGCCCCCGCGCCCAGTCAGTGCACGCGCACGCACCGCGCACGCGCAGCACCTTCTTTAAGTTGTTCGGCGTTGGCGGAGCGGCGCGCGGCAAATGGAGTGGGTGCTCGCGGAAGTGTTGCTCGCTCAGAGCAGGGACCCACGTGTCCTGCTCGGGGCGCTCTGCCGAGGGGATGCGTCCGCGGAGCGCGTGGAGACACTGAGGTTTCTTCTCCAGCGGCTCGAGGACAAGGAGGAGCGCCGCGGGGACGCGGACGCGTACCCCGGGGCGCTGCTGCAGGAGGCGGCGCGCGAGGCGGCGGTCGGGTACCTCGTGCCGCTGCTGCGGGGCCCCGACCCAGAGTCACCGCCCCTCCGCCGCCGCGTCCTGAGGGCGGCCGCCGGGGCCCTGCGCTCGTGCGTCCATCTCGCCGGGGACCCGCAGTGGGTTGCCGCGCTAGCTGAGGAGGCCCTGCACGACCTGCTCGCTGTGCGGCCGGAATGCCGCGAGGGTGCCCCCCAGGACGCCTCTTGCGGACCCGAAGGGCCGGGCGGTCAGGCGGCCGTGGAGGTCCTCGTGGCCGTAGGTCCCTGTCTGCGGCCGCGCGAGGACGGGGCGCTCCTGAAGCGGGTGGTGCAGGCTGCCTTGGCCCTGGCGTTGGGCGAGGCCGATGCCGGGCCGGCTGAGGAGACGGCTGCGCTGGCGGCCGGGCGGCTGCTGCCGACGCTGGGCCGGTGTGGCGAGGTTGCGCTGCGGGCCGTGTGGGAAGGGCTGCGCGCTACTAGCGCGCGGCCACGGGCCTCTACCCCCGGCGCCGGGCCGTCCCCCGTCGGGCGCCAGCTGCTGGTGCTGAGCGCACTGGCTGAGAAGCTGCTGCCCGAGCCGGGGGCGGGCAGAGTCCCTCGTGGGCCAGAGACGGGTCTGGACGTCCGGCGGTGCTGGTATTTCTGGAGGACCGTGCAGGCGGGACTGGCCCAGGCGGAGGACGCACTCACGCGCAAGAGGGCGCTCCATGTGCTGCAGAGGGCCGTGGAGGTGTCGGCGGAGCTGGGGGCCGACTGCACGAGCGGCCCCCGGGAAGGAAACGGTACTTGCCTCTTTCCCCACAGCTGCCCCGTGAGGGGACGCCGCCTGCTTCTGAAAACCAGCTCGTAGTGCTCGTCTCCGCGACTTTTGCAGAATTTGCTTATTTCAGATGGCCCGCATAAAGTCTGAACACCTTGGGAACCTCATCTCGAGGTGTTTCTGAAGTGACACAAATCACTACAGTTGTGAACAGTCTACATTTCCTAAACTTTCTGACCCAGAGAGAGGTGAAATACTGCACCTGTGGAATAATTTAGGAAGATGACCCAGTCCGTGGAGAATTTTAGAGACCCAAATTTGCCCTACATTTGGTAGATCCATTCCAATAGATTAACATCCATCAAATTGAAAGGAAAGTTATTAACTTACGGCCAGTGAGTGTTAGAAATAAGCGCTGATAAAGCGATCAGATTTCTGTTTAAATTTCCCTTGGTAATTCTGTTAGGAGCAGGATTTACAAATATTTGTTAAACACGGTCCTTAAATCGACCTTCTGAGGGTATTTTTGCCATTGATTTAATAGAAAGGATCACATTTTACATAGTTTTTAATTTTATATTTTGAGCGGTGTTTCCTACTTTATTACAGAAAGAGTAGATGAAATAGCAAGCCCTCCCTTCAGTTTCGTATGTTACTTTTAATTGGCTTGTACACTAAAGTGTATGAAAGGACACTTAAGTCATCTTAAATTTATTTTTGAGTTATCAAAGTCCACAACAGATTGATTTAAAATTGTCTCCATAGATAATTTCTACCCTTTTAACTGTAGCTGACTATTCATTTGTTGTAAGTAAAGGTTTCTGTTTGGCTGCAGTTGTGAGTAGGTTATTTGACTTTCATATATGTTTAAAAAATAGTAAAAATGTTTTAACAATCCACAAATAAGTCATCAATGGATGAGAGTTTTCACTGGAAAACATTTTAAAAAAAATCAGAGTTAAACAAGCACATATTTTAGAGTCATTCTGCAGAGTTTCAATGATAAGGAGTAGTCTTTTCATGCTCTCCCCTTCCCACACTTCTTCCATTTCAGAAAACAACCACTTATAGCTGATGAGTTTGATATTTACTCCTAAGTCTCAAAATAGTGTATCCTAGTTACATTATAACTTATTGTAATATCTGTTGTCATGGTTATAATTTGGTTAAATGAATATTCAGCATTTACAAAATGATAACTATGTAAATGGTCTTTGAAGGTGGTTTATGTAGTAAACTGTGATTAGTTTTCCTTTCCTGAAAGTTTTTTCTAGGATTATGCCGTTTAAAAATTTGTTTGGTTTTATCTGAATTTATCACTAATTCATTCCCCAATTCTTTGCCAATTGTTTAAACTTTTCTCTGTGAAGTCATTAGGTATTTTACAAGTTTTATGTTCTGGAAGTATCTCCTAGAGTCCTCTTATATGCTCAAATATCAATTGTTGCTCTCTATGCCTCGTGCAGTTCTACTCTGTCATATAGGGTCACTATGAGTCGGAATCGACTTGACGGCAACGGGTTTGGTTTCTCCGGTATGCCTGGTGCACAGCTGACCTCCTAAAGATCTGTCTTCACCGTCATCCTGGGTATTCCCTTTACCTGAGTCCTGTGTTGGATCTCGTTTTCCGTAGTTCACACCTTCTCTTTTGGTTTACTCGTTTTGTTGAAGTGCGTTCTCCAGTAGTTTCCTGAGATAAAAAATTTTAAGACCCTGCATGTCTGATAATTTCATCAATGGAGACTATCTCTGATATGTTTTTATTTCTAGTATTTCTATTTCACACTTTGTTATAGTTTCCATTGCTGAAAATCCGCATCTGTTCATGCATGTCGTCTACTTTTTCCAGGAGATTCTTTACTATCTTAATCATAGTTATTTTCAGGTCCTACACTTGGACCATATCTAGGTCTGGTTTTGTTTTTTGTTTTATCTATTGATAATGGGTCATTTTTTCCTTGCTTTTTTCTGTCTTAAAAATTTTAGATACTGTGTATAAAAGAACAGTAGTGACTGAAGTAAGTATTTGTGCCAAGAAAGAGTTACTCCTCTTCTGACAGTCAGAATGTTAGTTTAGGGAGATGGATGATGAGTCAGTTTAGTTTGTAGTTGAGCTAGGTTTGGTTTTGTGTTGGTATAATTACCTTCAGTGTGCTCCAGTCTTCAAATTCTTCCAGAGACAGGTTGTTGCTGTTTGTACTTACTGAAGCCTGGAGTAGCAGATGGTTTTTCTCAGTGTTCTAGTTTTTCTCAAGCCCTGGATGCCTGTTCCACAGATGGTGTCTGTCTTCATGCCTTTGCCTTTCCCTCAGGTGTAGACTGCTGATGTTTGTTACTTGGTGCAAGGCTTGTGATAGGGACACGGGGTTTTTAATTTCTCCTACTCCAGCCTCAGCCTTAGGCCTAGTGCACTTGAACCTGGGTTGGGGCTTTTTTGCTGTTTCTGTTCCTACCCCAGGGGCACTCTGTCTCCTACTTAGCGAAGGGTTTAAAGCACATGTGAGTTTTCTTACCCTCTCCTGTGGCAACTGAATTCTTCTGTGTCAGCATTAGGTCTTGGACACGCCACCCTGTCAGCAGCAAACCACTGCTTTGTGTCAGCGCGGGATGATGGGCACGACTCAATTTCCTTCCCCTCCCACAGTGACAAATGGCCTTTGCCCAAGGTCAGTGGGGTTGGAGAGAAAAGGTTTTCTCTCTCCCCTAGAGGCACCAATTTTTGCTGGTATTAGGGTAGGGACAGGAGTGAGAGTGTAGGAGGGTTTCCTGCCCCTCCTACAGGGACAGAGAGCTTTTCCCTCCTATCAGAGAACAGTCCAGGGTGTAGCACAGTGGCATCACTAAGGGGGCGTGGGGGGGGGGGCGAGGACCACACCAGCTGACACTGTCAGAGGGAGTGACACCAAAATGACTGTCTGTAAAATTTTGGGGTAGTGTTTCAGCAGAAACTTATTATTTTTTATAAAAATATCCCTGTAATAACAACAAAAACATTTCTCATAAGCCCAGCTTACATGTATCAGTATACTTACAAGGCTAAAACTTTATGCTCATTTACTTTTTGAACCTTCTAATGCGCTCAGGTAAGAGGTGTCATTATTACTTAATTACAGTGATGCTTCGAATCTCGTGATTTTGTCTGCACGTGCTATAAGCACGCGCTGTTTTCATTGCTGCTGGTATTTTTATAGTCCTTGAATTTGTCAAAATTTCTGGTGTTTTAGCTACAATATTGTGGTAATTAGTATTTGTGAATCCATATCAATAACTTGAGAATGAAGTGGTAATTAAAGGAAAAGAAGAGGTGATAAACATGGAAATTGCGATTTACGAGTAACAGTACAAAAAAACATTACTAAGAATTCTCTGTGGTCTGGTAAGGGAGGAGGTCCATGGCAGGGGTGACAGCAATCCTAGTGACGCCACTGGTGTAGCAGGTTTAGTGAGTCTGCCCAGCGGCAGTTGATCACCATTTCGTACACTTGTAGGACATGGATGACCTTCTGCAGTCAGTCCTGCTCCACTCTCAAACCTAGGCAGGGCCTGTATGCCTGCACTACCAAGGGTCTCCTGCCCTGCCATAGTATTTCTCATCAGGGAGGCCTGTGGAAAAGAGCTAGTTCAGTGGATGTGGGCTTTCTTGGGGTTGTTCTCAGGGTTTCTAAACTGTCACGCTAACTCACACTTGGCATTTAAAACCTTGTTAGAATTTCAGGTTTTTTTAAACAGCTTTTTTGTTTTTTGGCTTTCCTCTATGCCAACTTAATATTCAGTTTTCTTGAGTGTGCCTGGTTATTATCTGCTTTTCAGATTCTAAATTTCGTTGCTGTTGTCCGCTCCCTTATTTTCGCCATTCTCTGGAGTTTTGCCTTAAAAAAAATCTTACTGTTACAGTGAGGTTCTGAGGGTGAGAAAGTAGAGTTTACATGGACAAATCTGCCATTCTTATCCAGGACTCCAAAACAGCAATCTTAATTTAAAAAAAAACTTTTTTTTCCCCTTTGAAATCTTTGTTAGCCTAGTCAAGCCTCCTGTCTTCTAGGCTTTAATATGGGGAATACCCTTCATTATTTGAGAATATAACATTTGGTAATAGTACCATTACTTTAAGAACTGTTTCATTAAGAAACTTACAGAATTTGCAAAAGGATGAACTAATTTTTTTTTTTTTTTTTTTTTAACCATATCAGACCCAAGTCTGTTTTGGTGGTATGAGAAGGAAAAAGATGAGCTTCTGAAGTTTTGGGAAAACTATATTTTAATTATGGAAACTTTAGAAGGAAATCAGGTAAGTATTTTCATATTTTTAGCAAAGCCTCTAGAGTTGTAATGTTCATTTTTAAAAACATTCTAAATAAGCAGTGCTAAAGATCAACTTGGGTATAGCATGATAGAATTCAAACATACTTTCTTTTCTAGCATAAATGCCATTTAAAATTGAATGTAAATTGCTTTAGGAAATTAAATAATACTTTCAGTTGGCTTAGATTATTATTTTAAAAAATTTAGTCTTATCTTATCTTTCCTTGGTATTTAATCCTAAATGTTAGTTTTTAGTTTCTGTACTTTGTTTATGAAAGATCTCCCAAAAAAAAATACCACTTTAGGAAGATTTTTACTTAAAGCAATTCTAAAGAATTCTAAAGGTGAATTAAAGTAAATAATTACTGTTTAGTTTTGTAGATTTTCTTTCTTTTTTAGTTCTTGTATCTGTACATTACTGTTTCTTTGAACATTATTTGCTGATTGCATCTGAATTTATAATCCTGAGTAGTAGGATAGGTTTGTCAATAGACTGGGCAGTCAAAAAATCATTTGTAATTGACTTTGAATTAATTTTTGTAGAATCATGTACTTTTTCATCTTAAGGTTTTTACAGTGCCTCTCAAACTTTAAGGCTCATCAGAATCACCTGGACAGCTTGTTAAAATGTAAATTTCTGGGCCCCACCTCCAGAGTTTCTCTTTCAGCAGGTCTAGGGTAAGGCCTGAGAATTTGAATTTTTAACAAGTTCCAAAATGGTGCTTCTGCTGCTGATCTCCGGACTATACTTTGAAAACCACTGGTGGGTGTGTGTGTGGTGGGAGTGGTAGTGTTCCCAGTCTGTTAGCTGCAGATCACTGAGAGGCCAGCCATCTGTGGAGTCATTGTAAGGTGTCAGTCCTAATATGTACCTGACATTGTGGACTGAAATAAGGAATTACTCATATATGCTAAATATAGATGCAAGGATGAGGAATGAAGAAAAAGCATTATTAAATTCAAGTCAACTTGTATGGCTTTCCTATTCAGCACATCTGTAAAACCAGCATTATTTTTGTCCATGAGTCGTTAGTTCTTGCAGTGTAAAAGGGAGTCCTTATAGCAAAAAATGTTTGGATGTGTTTGACTGAGTCTAGTCTGCCATTTTATAGATGAAGGAACTTGGCAGGAAAGTCAAGTAACAGAGATACCCAGTTGGTACTTTTATTTGATGATGAATTAGTATGAGCTGGGAATTCACACTAGTGTTCAGAATGAAATATATAGAAATTTAAAAAGTCTTATTTATCTATATTTTGAAGGATATATAAATTAAAGTCTGCAGCAAAGGTGTCTACAACATGATCTGAGTACTGTGAAGAACATGAACTGGCTCAACTTAGTGACTTGAATGACTGGAGAAAATATTTTAGTATTTTTTCTACTTTGAAATAAATTAGTGTTACCACCTCTACCTATTTCCCAGTACTGTTGAGGATTACATGACCTACTTCATGATATTCACTGTAGAAGCGTAAATACACCTACTCCTCACTTACTGATTATCTGATTCTCTTGACATTTCATATTTATGACAATAATAAAAAAATACACTGACTATTTTGCAGGTTAGTGACATATGTCTGGCAGTAACAAAAGCTGAGGTGCGAGGCGAGAGTAACGCTGGCTGTGATGGTTAAGGTTATGTGTCAGCTTGGCTGGCCATGATTCTCAGTGTTTTGGCAGTTACATAATGATGTTGTCATCCTCAATTTTATGATCTGATATGGTCATCCTCCATTTTCCCATTATGCCAATTTTCACATAACAACCTGGTCTTTGGAACCTAACCATGTCAGTAAGTGAGGAGTGGGTGTATTATTGTAACTGTATTCTAGGTTATATTCATTAGCTTTGCCATACTCAGTCTTACATCCCTGAATTTATATCATTTAAAGGCCGAAAGAATCAGGCTCTTCGTGCATATCTTTTACACAGGGGTAAAAGCACAGATAAAGCGCTATTACATAAACAAGTCTGTTGCCATTGAGTCGATTGCAACTTATAGTGACCCTATAGGACAGAGTAGAACTGCCCCATAGGTTTTTCCAGGGAGCGACTGGTGGATTCCAACTGCCAACCTTTTGGTTAGCAGCCAGACACGTAACCACTGTGCCACTAGGGCCCCAGGCTAGTATATAAATAAATGAAAATCCCTTTATGTTTTTAAAGAGGAGTTTTCATTTCATGATTTTTTTACTTTTATTTTCAGATACATGTTATAAAGCCAGTCTTACCAAAGCTAAATAATCTGTTTGACTGTGCAGTATCAGAGGAAAAAGGTAATGGTTATTTTTATTTTAATTTTTTATAACATTTATGGTTTTTTTCCCCCTGATTTTATAAGTAATACTTGCTCATCACAGAGAATTTGGAAAAACATAAAAGTATAAAGAAGAAAATTATAAGTTATCTTGTAGTACTGCCACTAAGAGATAATAGCTGTTAGCATTCCAGATATACACTGTCTTAGTTACCCAGTGTTGCCATAACAAAAAATACCACAATTGGGTGGCTTTAAAGGACAGAAATTTATTTTCTCACAGTTCTGGAGGCTAACAGTTCCAATCAGGGTCTCGGCCGTGTCAGTTCCTTCTGTGGACCCCTCTCCTAGTTTCTGGTGTCTGCCAGCGATCTTGGTGTTCTTTGCTTGTAGGTGGGTCCACGCATGGTGTCTGTCTTCCTTTGTGTGTGTGTCTCTGTGTCTATTCTGGTCTTTTTATAAGACCTCACTTAGAGATTAGGTTTAGGACCCACACTACTCTGGTGTGACCTCATTAATACAGCAAATGAAAATCCCAGTTTCCAGACAGGGTCATATTTACAGGTACAGGGGTTAGGGCTTCAGTGCCTGTGTTGGGGGAACACAATTCTAAACATAACATACACCTTCTGCATCATGTTGTTCACAGTGTTTTATCTCATTTAGCATTATATCCAGGACATTTACCCATATCTTTAGATAGTCTTTGAGAACATCATTTTAAGTGGCTACAGAGTTTTCTCTAACTTGGAGTTATGGTTAATTTTTTAAACTTTTTATTATGGAAAATTTCAAACATACACAGAAGTAGAATAGTATGTATGATAAACCCCCCTTCATGCAGCTTCAACAACGATCAACTCATGGCCAGTTCTGCTTCTTGTATTGTAAATAATCTCTCCTACTCACTCTCTACCACATTACTTGAAGTACATCCTAGACATCATATCATTTCATTTGTAAATATTTCAGTACATAAAAAGTTGGGACTCTTTGGTAATGTTTTAAAGATGGTATATTCTACATTTTTAATAATAGCTCTTTGGTATGATTATGTATTTTAACTGCTTTCCATTTTTATTCTCTTACTGTATCTGTTACTCCATGTTTGTTAGAATTACTCTTGGGATTCAGGTATTCTGTATCTTGGACTTAGGAAGAGAAAATTCCAAAGTATATTTTAAGTATGGTTTTTAACCCCTTGTTCACAACTGTATTATGGGAGCTTTCTATGGAGAAATAAAATGAAGCTGCAGCTTCCTAAAATTATTTTATGAATTGAAGTTCAGATCAATGAAACAGCTAAACATAGGCTAACAGTGCTTTGTATTCATATGAATGATAAAATGCTGCATTATAGAGTTTACACAGGAGAATTAACTTAGGTAAATGGATTTTACTGCTTACTCTAGATAATTGCAATCTTAATAGCTTGACCCCTTAGGAATTAAGCTTTATTCAGCTGATTGTTACAGTTGTTTTCTGATACACTGGGATTTTTCACAGACAGTAAGACTCTGTATTCCCACCTGGGGCTAGAATTTAATTGAATCCTGTTGTGACTTCACTTATGCATTTACTATTAGAATGATGCTCTTATTATCTATCACATTTTGCCCACAGCTCTTGGCAAACCAAATCAAATAGCAATGACTGATTTTGAAAAACTACCATTGCCAAAAAATTGCACAGGCATCTTGGTGTAAATTACAAATAATGGACCGACTTTTGTATAGAATGTTATAAGTAAAAAATGCTGAATTTTTTTTCTAATAGAATTAAAGTCTTTTTCAAAAAAGTCAGAAGAATACCTCTAAGGTGAACATTTATTCCATTTTTAATTTGTTTACTCATTTATACATTCACCTAATAGATACTCACCTAGTACCCAGGGTATGCTAAGCCCTGGGATAAAGTAGTGAGACAGATGTGGTATTTTTCAATTTATTTTTGTCTGTTTTCCACAAAGGAATAGAAAAAATAGTTTCTGATTATGGTAAGTTCTATGAGGAAGCAAACAAGGGGCTGAAAAGTGTACAGTGGGGCCATACTTCAGGTAGGGTGACCAAAGAGGGCCTGTGTTAGGAAATGACACCTGAACTTAGAGTTCTAGGCTGAGGAAGCAGTGCTTTGTGTGGAAACTGTCAGATGGGAAGCAGCTCGAGGAGATAGAGGAACAGAGGGTCGATGTGGCTGGAGCCAAGGGGATATGGGGCAGGTAGGTATAGGTAGACTAGGAGTCAGAGGTCCACTCATACCTTATAGACCATGGTAAGGAGTTTGGATTTTCTGCTAAGAACTGTGAGAAGCCATTTAAGTGTTTTAATCAGAGGTGTGACCATTTCAGATTGGAATTTTAAGAATATTACTCTGGCTGTTGTGTGAAAAATTGATTGGATTGGGGTGAGAAGAATTGATTGAAACCACCCCAGATCTAAAGTTCCGACCTGCATGCTTGGGGAATATTTAATTTTTGTACACTGTAGTATCTATAACATTTGTGTGCAGTTTTTCTAAATGAAATGGTCTTATACTGAAGTTATTTCTGTTATTCGATAATTAAATGTCTTGAATGTGAGTAAAACCAAACTCACTTTGGTAGTATTAGAATGAAGTTAATGTGTTTGTGTGTATATGCATTTGTTTATGAATATGTAGTCTATGTAGAGAAACATAATGTAAGAGGCAAATGTTAACATTTGATACTTATTTCCACAGGAGTTTGGCTCTTCCACCCATCCTGGCATATGTGTATTTATAAAAGAATGTTTGAGAGTGAAAATAAAATCCTGACCAAAGAAGGTGTCACCCATTTTTTAGAGCTCTATGAAACAAGGGTTCTTCCATTTTCACCAGAATTTTCTGAGGTAATGATAGCCAATCCTTTTCCTTGTCCCTTTTGTTGAAAGATGGAGTCCTGGTGGCACAGTGGTTAAGAGCTCAGGCTGCTAACCAAAAGATCGGCAGTTTGAATCCTCCAGCCACTCCTATGGGGCAGTTCTCCTCTGTCCTGTGAGGTTGCCATGAGTTGGAATCAACTCGATGGCAGTGGGCTTGGTTTTTGGTTTTGTCAGAAGATGAGCATTTATTGTATCCTGTGTCATCTTTAAAAATACATGCCAAAACAAAACAAGCAAACCCGTTGCTGTGGAGTTGATTCTGACTCATGACAACCCCATGTGTTAGAGTAGAACTGCCCCACAGGGTTTTCTTGGCTATAATCATTACGGAAGCAGATTGTCAGGCCTTTCTTCTGTGGCATTGCCAGGTAGGTTCGTATTGCCAACCTTTAGGTTAGTAGTTGATTGCAAACCATTTGCGCCACCCAAGGACTCTATGTATGTAAAACCAAAAACCAAACCCAATGCCATCAAGTTGATTCTGACTCATAGCAACCCTGTAGGAGAGTGTAGAACTGCGCCCACAGGATTTCCAACAATGTAATCTTTACAGATGCAGGCTGCCACGTCTATCTCCTGTGGAGCAGCTGGTGGGTTTGAACCACCCACCTTTCGGTTAGCAGCTAAGCGCAACTCTAAAATTGCAAGTAGCATTTTATAGATTTGTGTTCAGTAAATCTTATTTCTCTAAACTTAGTTATCATGTTTTTAAAAAGCCTACTATAATGTAGTTTGTTGAGGAGCTGAATGCTAGATATGCCTGCATCTTCACCATTCTGAATAAGTTCTGGGTATTAGTATTCTGAACAACGAAAGTCAAGAGTATGAAATCTGGTATGGAAGCTTTTTAGTGTTACCATAGTTTTGAATCACTGAATTATTGCTCTTAGTTTAGAGATGCTGCTCCCCCAGTTCTGAGGCAGTGAATTACTGTTACCTATTATGTTAAGCAAACTGCCTTTTGAACTATGTTTATTATAAGCTATACTTCTGTTTGTCAGGAATCACACGAAGAGACCGAGAATTATAGCTGTGATTGTTAGTTTTATATTATAGTGTTATTTGAGTTGCACACTTAGGTGTAGTAATTTACCTCTTATTTAGAGGTAACGTCAGTAAATTTTTCTAATTATTTGAATACGTGCTACAGTATTTTGATATACATCCTTTTCCACATTCTTCTGCACATTCCTGTACTTCCTTTAAGCTTGGTCTTTTAACCAGTGTCTAGTGATAGTTTTGGAGATACGATTTTTCCACTTTATGTTCAGGCATAGGGGCTTAATTTCCTCTTGAGTATCTTTTTGTGTTTTCTTTGTTACTACCTTTATTTCCCAGCATGTGTTCCCACTTCGAGTTCTTTCTTCCTTCTTGACCCAACACATGAACTCTCTTCTGAGTATCCCATATCTTTTTATCAGGTGGGAAAATTCTGTACTCATTTTGTCGTTCTGGTAGAAATAAGGTACCTTCAAAGACCATCACTGCATTAACCTAGAGGATAAGACATCAGCTTTGCTTACAGCAGCTATTCCACAACCCTGTTTAGGTATATAATCAGGGCAAGCTGACTTTTCAAAATTGCAGTTATAACAATATCAATTATGCACTTCTTTTTTTTTTTTTTTAGTTTATTATTGGACCACTAATGGATGCACTTTCAGAAAGCTCTCTGTATAGCAGGTAAACCTGTTATTTAATGGTAATGCAGTAGTAAGTATTTGATATACAAATTTGTCGTGTTTATGAAAGATGATCAGATTGTTTAATGCATTTGGTACGTGATATGTATGCTGCCTATTAGACATACAACTTTTTCTTATTATGTAATTCCTTCTATATTTGTTATTCTTTTTGCCTTTCTTCTGTTATTTGTATCAAGTGTTCCTCCTCTCCTTTTTTTCTTCCTTTCCCCACCTTGAACCCCTCTGTTCTTAGGCTTTTAGAAAGTATATCTTATGTAGCTCACTTTCTTCCCTCTTGGAAATTGTACTGACATTGGTGAAGTAACACTTTCAAGTTTTTCCCCCCTTTTAGCTTCTTATTTTGACTTAATTTTAGAGTTACAGAAAAGTGAGGATAATACAAAGAATTACCATATCCTTGCATCCTTATTCCTCAAATGTAAATACTTTAACTGCATTTGCCTGATCATTGTCTCCCTCTGTGTGTGTGTACATCTTTATCTTAGCTCTGTCTGCTGAGCAGATATACCCATACACGTCTGTATCTACTTCCATGCCTATATATTCTCTAGCTATCTAGCTATATTAAGAATCATGAATTCATACCGATATACTTAATTCTAGTCCACTCCTACAGGAAACTACCTTTCCCGTTTCTGTGTTTGACAGTGGCTCCCCTTGTCCATAATATATTTCCTTATTTGGCACTTCTACCTTTTGAAAAAGTTGACAGTGAGAAGAGGTTGTTAGTATTATGGCTTTGCGTTATTTTCTTGAGCATTGTCTATATTCTTGAGTTATGTCTTCAAAATTTTCCCCTGCTTTTGAAATTATGTTGTCTTTCTAATGTTGATTAACTAAATTTATACTTCTATGTCTTCTTTTTTTTGGTGTGATTCTGAACAGAAAAAAAATTACTCTTCCCCTGCTAAATTCCTTTAAAAATGTTTAATTGGTCTGTGCCAAGTTATATTAATATTTAGTCCTGTTTAATAACTGTTGGAAGAGCATAGCAGTGCTTGACTTTCCAATTTTTAGTTTTCAAATAATTCATTACTATTGAATAGTTTTTGAAGTAGTTAGACAGCTGGAGAGCAGTAAAGCCATTGAAGAAAGCTTGGTGCTTTCTAAAAGAGTTGACAAACACATTTATTACAAAATGCCTTTAGTTTTCTAGCACTCTAATGTGTTCAATTGACAGACAGTGTTCCTAGCAGAAGCACATAGCAGAAAACATAACTTTAGTAGACGTTAACAATTAAATGCTCTTGCAAAAGTACCTTATTGCTAATATGTGTCTTTACTATGAACGTTATTTTTTTTTTTAGACCCAAAGATTTAGTTATTGGATTATATGTTGAAAACAATAAAATATAATTAAAAATTATCATATCCTTAGACTTTTTTTGATGATGCTATTTAACAAGATTTATATATGTGTAAATGCGGGGGGAAGTTTCCTGAAAAAAGAAATCTATGCCTACATAGTGTAGTAGATTATTAACTCATGTCTGTTTTCCTAGAAGAGCCTGGTGGTTCACTAACCAGAAGTTTCCTCAAAATTTTACTGAAAAATAAAATGCAGGTTCAGGAAAAGAAGATTGTCTGATTTGTTTTATTGTTGAAAGACTTTTGGGCCATAGTCCATTTAGTTTTAGTAAGCTTATTTGTAAATAGATTTTAAATATTTGTTTTTTTCTCCCTCTTGGTGCGTAGGTCTCCAGGTCAGCTGATGGGAAGTGGGTCTCCATTGGGATTGAAGTTGCAGACGTTTTTAGTCACTTATGTTTCTCTACTTCCAGAAGAAGTAAAGAGTATGTGTCATTAAAGAGTTTTTTTTTTTAAATGTATTTGCTTTAATTTTTTTCTTTTTTCAATATATTGGTTATAAGCAACATCCTAGACTGTTATAATCAATATTATCAAAATAATTTCCTTTTTTCAGAGTGTGCAGATTTTGTCAGAATTATGCAGGTATCCATTGTAATCAAGTACACACTTTATTATATATATCGTATATGTTGCCAATCTTGGTACCAGTAGCTAGAAGAAATTTTCAAAGATGTACTGCAGCTAGACATCTTTTCTAATTGCTATTGAATTTCAAAAACTAGAAAAACAGGTTGAAGAAAGAGAACCTGGGTTTAGGGAAAAAGTTGAAAACAGAATATCCATTCTGACAAAGATTTGATGATCTTTGTCAGGATGTTTTTTTTTTTAATGAGGTGTAATAAGTTGGTAAGCAAAACACACAAGCAGTGTTATTTTGTTTGTTTGCAAAGCATAAGGACTTACTGTAATAAAGTCCTTTTTTTCACTCTTGGCCTTTGTGACTTGTGAAGTGACTCTGCATATAAAATAATTTTTTTTTCATTTATATTTAATCTACATGTAGGGTGACCAATGGTAATATGTATTTGAAAGTCAGAAAGCTTCAGGAAAAGATAGTCTGTATTTTCATGGCTCTAAATTTATAGAAGATTAATTGTTTTGATTGCTTTAAAAAAAGAAAGGTTATTGGAGAAGATAATTTAGCCATCAGAGCTATACTTTAATTTGCTAGAATTTAGAAATTTAAGTTTCTGGGTTCCAGCAATATGGGGATTAATTTGTCAGTCACATCGGTATCTGCCATGCCAATAAACACAACATAAGTAAAATAATACTAAAATAATTTGAATACCTGATGTTTGTGGCTTAGTGCCAGACACACAATAAACACTTGGTAAAGATGTTTAATGAATGTGGAATGGAAGCTGGCTATTGCCATATTTCTTATAGCATGAGTGAGGTATTAGGAAAAGGATGGAATTTAGTGAACTTAATTCGTGCAAACAAAAGCAGGTAAATAAAATGTTTACTGAGTTTTAACTTACCAGTTTTTTCAGTCACCAATTTCCAATGAATATCTTCAATGTATCTAGCTTTGTGCTAGGTACTTTGGAAGATATAAAGTGCATGTAATACCCTTCCAGGAACTTTGAGGATTTCTTAACAGGCATTCATTTTACAATGATGATCTGAGAAAACGGCTAGGCCTTTTCACTAACTGCATGATCTGAATGTCCTCAGAAAATCACACATTAGCTTAGAATGAAGCACAGTCCCTTTGTATCTTGAAATAGAAAAATAAACTATAGTGATTAGATCCAGGGTAATCAAGAAACAGCTGGTGAGAAAGATGTACTGTTCTTCGCAGATACCAGAGGCCAGTTACCTTCACTGTTTCACATCCTGTTTTTCCTTAATACTTCTAATACTGAAGAATGGTTTCTAACACTAATACATTTATCTTTTACCTTAAAATTTATATACATATATGTATGTATGTATATATAGCTGCACAGCTCTACAATATAGAATACTTACTAAACAGGGATGAAATTGAAATAACAATGATTTCTTTTTACAACAGCTTATTTGAGATGTAACTTACATACCATACAATTCAGTGGTTTTTAGTATATTCATAAAGTTGTGCAACAGTCACCACGATCTATTTCAGAATATTTTCATCACCCCAAAGAGAAACCCCATACCCATTAGTAGTTACTTCCCTTTCTCCTCTCCTCCTAGTCCCTGGCAGCCACTAATCTGCTTTCTGTCTCTGTAGATTTGCCCATTCTGGACATTTCGTAGAAATGGTATCATACAATATGTGAGCATAATGGTTTCAAGATTCATCCGTGTTGTAGCATGTGTCAGTACTTCATTCCTTTTTATGGCTGAATAATATTCCATTGTACGGATATACCACAATTTGTTTATCCATTTTTCAGCTGATAGACATTTGGATTGTTTCTGCTTTTTGGCTGTTGTGAATAGTGCTGCTATGAACGTTTGTGTACAATTTTTTTGTGAATATATGTTTTGACTTCTCTTGGGTATATACCTATAGTATTTCTGTGTTTAAATTTTTGAGAAACTTCTAAACTGTTTCCAGATAGCTTTCTTTTGATTTAACTCATGATATTCTACCTTAAATAATATACTTGACTGCTTTCACAGTGAATTTATTTTATTCAGTTAAAAAAGTGGCTGCACCACCATGTTATATCCCCACCAGCAGTGTATGAGGGCTCCAATTGTTCCACATCCTTGCCAACACTTACTGTCTTTTTCATTATAGCCATCCTAATAGATGTGAAATGATATCTCATTGTGGTTTTGATTTGCATTTCCCAAATGACTAATGGGAAATCCTGGTTGCATAGTGGTTAAGTGCTACGGCTACTAACCAAAAGGTCAGAAGATTGAATCCACCAGGTGCTCCATGGAAACTCTGTGGGGCAGTTCTACTCTGTCCTATTGGTTCGCTCTGAGTCGGAATCGACTGGATGGCAACGGGTTTGGTTTGTTTAATGGCTAATGATGACCATCTTTTCATGTGTTTATTGGCAACCATGATTTTTTTTTTAACTTTTTCTTTCAGATGGTTTTCTGTTAAATTTTATTCAGAAAATGACGAGTAGACATTGGTGTGCTGTTCCCATTTTGTTTCTATCTAAGGCTTTGGCAAATGTCCCCAGATGTAAAGCCCTGGGGGTAGAAGGGCTTCTTGCTCTCAGGTAATTTACTGTGTGTGTGTCACATACAGTTGTGTGCTGTGACTTTCCATTAGTAAATTTTTTCCCCTCTGCTTTAATCTACAGTGAGTGTTTTTACTTGATAGTGGCTTTGGGATTTGTGAGCTTCTAATTTTGTACATGGAAACAAGTAAATTTAACAGTTTTTTTGTTCAGATAGAGTTGACTTAGTTTTATGAATTACTAATTTTAATATGTACTGTAACACATGCTGTCGGATTTTGACCACTTTAAGTAAGGCCAGTAGGTTTTTATTACATTGAGATGTAGAAAACTAAAAGGTCAGGTAATAATATGGATAAGAAGGTATTTCAAAAAACACAGAATTTTTACCTTAAAAGCAAAGATGAAAAAAAAATTTAAAAAGCAAATATGAAAAAAGCATTTGTGTCTTTGTATATAGTCTTTTTGTTTCTAGAAGAGATTTGTTTCATATTAAAATTGAGTTCTGTTAGATGCCTTAAAAGAAAATAATAGCTTTGAAATTTTACTGACAGTGATTTTCTGTATTAGAAATTGTAGATATTATAAATCAATTTGTCAGTAACTATCAGTTATCAGAATTATCTTTGGAAGTAAGGAATGTGTTTTTGCTTTTTGATGCCAGGGATGTTCTTCAGTGTACTATGATCACGCATCAGATTCTATTGAGAGGGGCAGCTCAGTGCTATCTTCTTCAAACAGCTATGAATTTGGTAGATGTGGTAAGTTTATCTTTTTTACTCATGATACTTCAATTTATGAGTCTTAGTGAGTGAATATGCAAAAAAGAGTTAACATGACAGGCCTGTGACTGCTACCATTAGTAAGACCTACTTGTAAGATGGACCCTTGGCTGGCTCTGGGAACTTGAATTTCAGGAGGGTACCCATTATCCTAGCTAATAAGAGTAGCTCACCATACCTAAACTGTTTGTACAAACAGTGTGGTTTATGCTGAGCACTTGCTTTTCTTCTGGGTGTCTAGAATTTTGGTACATGCTAACCAGAGAGTGAACAGTGAACAGGTGAACAGTGCCTAGTAAAAACCCTGAACACGGAGGCTTTAGTGAGCTTCCCTCGTGGACAGCACTTCACAGGTGTTGTCATAACTTGTTGCTGGAAGAATTAAGTGCATCTGTGTGACTCCAATAGGAGAGGACTCTAGAAGCTTGGCCTTGGTTTCCTCCAGAGTTTGCCCCATGTGCCATTTTCTTTGCTGATTTTGCTCTGTATCTTTTTGCTGTAATAAATCTTAGCTATGAGTATGACTGTATGCTGAGTTCTTTGAGTCCTTCTAGAGAATGAATGAACCTGGGGTGGTCTTGGGAACTCTTGATACAGTGGGTATAAAAATTGGTGAGTGGGCATAAAAATGGAAATTGAGTCCCTGTTGGAGGATTTTGTAACTTTGAATCTTCCTGTAACTTATTCTCCGGTTCTTATGGAATGATGTATAATCAAAAGGGCACTTAGCGTCTGCTTTCCCTCCTGCTTTTAGTTAGGATCACACTGAAGGCAAAAGTATGGTGAACAATAACATGTTTGTATTGTTCTACTTTTCTCTCTCACCCACTCTGAAAGTGTTCCACTAAGAGCAGTTTCAAACATTTTCACCATGTTTTTTGGGTACATATAAAGCACGTTTGTATGGGAGTTACAGACAGTGGAAACTTTCTTCTTTTATCTGTGAATTCATACACATTTACATTCTAGTCCACAATTTACATGTATTCATTGTAATACAAAGAAGATTTTTCCACATCTGACAATAAATTGACATTCAAGGAAGTATACTATCTTTAGTCTGTGGTTTTTTCAGAACCCCAACAATACCACTGCTTAGAGTAGGTACCAGCAAATTTTTTCTGTAAAGGACTAAATAGTAACTATTTTAGGATTTGTGGGACATACAGTCTCTGTTACAACTGCTCAGTTCTTCCATTGTAGGCAAGAGCAGGCATGTTGTTGTTAGCTACAGTTGAGTTGGCCCCCAACTGGTGGCAACTCCATGCACAATGAAATGAAGCACTGCCTGGTCCTGCACTATCCCCATGATTGGTTGTGGATTTGACTGTTGTGATCCATAAGGTTTCCATTGGCTGGTTTTCAAAGTAGATCACTACGCCATTCTTCCTAGTTTGTTTTAGTTTTAGGCTGGAAGCTCCACTGAAACCTCGTTTGCGTCATAGCAACACAAAAGCCTCCAGTGACAGATGGGTGGTGGCTGCACACAGCATGCGTTGGCTGGGAATCGAACCTGTCTCCCACATGGAAGGCGAGAGTTCTACTGCTAAACCACCACTGTCCCCTAAAGTAGCCATAGACAGTTTATAAATGGATGGGATGACTATGTTGCAATAAAACTTTATTTACAAAAACAGACTGTAAGAGGTTATTTACAAAAACAGGGTGTGAGTGGTTTTGGCCTGAGGGCCATAGTTTTAGAGTAAGGTGTCTTAATTTAAGATGCACAACCTTAAGGGAATGAAAAGACAGGTTGTTCTACTTAGTCAAGGAGTGATTTTTGTGGCTTTGAAAAGTAATAATCACTTTTTGATTTAAAGTAATCCTCTGCTTATACAATGTTTTTTGTTTGTTTTTTCTCTTTTTAAGATTGTGACCATCTTGTCTCTATCATAGTAACCTTTGATTTTAAGGAAAATAGATTTGTAAAATAATCTTTCAGTATGTTAATCTATTAGTTGTTTACAACCAATATCTTCATTTTAAAAATTTTATAATATTTTTAAAAAATAGGGTTCTTTTGGTTTAACTAATGATATTTTACTTTAAATAATACACTTAGTTACTTTCACGGTGATTTTATTTTATTCAATAAAAATTTTAAAATGAGTACTTATTAAAAACTCTCCCCCCCTTCCCCATCAAGGAGAAAGTGTCATTTTCTGATGTTTCAACTTTCCTCATGTCTCTGAGACAAGATGAATCCTTAGGACGAGGAACTTCATTGTGGACAGAGGTGAGATTTGAAAATAATTTCATGATAAGACCTTTGAAAACTATAAAAAAAAATTGACTTTATAATTGAATTCATCACTAGCCATTTATGTAAATAATAATTGCTTTGTTACCTATCAACAGAGGGTTTAAAATATTGTATATTTGCTGTGAGTAGACTTAACTAATAATGCTACTAAGATTCTTATGGAGAAGTGGGAGAGAGGAAAATGTTTGGATTAGAGATAGACCTGTTTAGAAGAAAAGATAGTGAGCGGATCTCGAGTCTGGATGAGCTATATTAGGAATAGTATTAGACGCAGAAACAGTAAGTAACACAAACTTTGTCTTTCTCTTTTTTCTGTCAGTTAATGGCACTTTCATCTACCCAGTTACCCAAGACTAAAATTTTGGTAATCCTTAATTTTTCTTGACTAACTCATCACTTAACAATTCAGTTGATTAAATATTTTAGAATTTATTTAATTCCTTTTCTTCTTTTTTTTCAAAGTTTTTGGTATTATAAGTAAGATTGGGATGAACATATTTTAAGTAAATATTTACATCTGGTTATTTCTTTAGGATAAATTCATAGAATTGAGATTGCTGGATTTGAATATTTTTAAGGTATTTGCTATAGATTGACAGAAGTTTCAGAGTTTGAAAGTGTATATCCATTTTATATTAGTGGTATTACAGTACCTACAGTCTGTCAGTATGTTAAATTCTTTGCCACTGTGATAGATGAAACATAGTAGCTGGCATTTTTATTTGCATTTCTCTGATTACTAGTGTGTTTGAACATTTTTTTGTGTTTATTACTCTTTATATTTCTTTTGTGAATTGTCTGTTCCTATCCTTTCTTCATCTTCTTTTGGGATTTTATGGTGGTTTTTTTTCCCCCTACTTGATTTATACATGTTCTTTTTATATTAAGGGTGTTGATAAGTTGCTCTACATGTTGCAAATCATTTTTCCTTTTTTTAAAAAATTCATTTCTGTTTTGTTTGAATAGGGAGTGAATTTACATGATTTGAAGATTAAAATTATATGATCAGAAAAGTCTTCCTTCCATTTCAGCTCCTCCACCTTGTTGTGTTCTTCACCCTGTCCTGCCTTGACCCCCTAGACAAAATATGTACACTGTTCACTACCTTCCATTTTTTAAATAAAAATATTTCCTAGTGATTTCTCCATGTCAGTAAATAAAAATCTTATTTGTTCTTTTTTGTACACCTGCATAGTGTTCCACTGTGTGATTATACTGTTTTTTTATTCTGCTTCCCACATTGCTGGACACTTCAGTTGTTTCCAGGCTTTTGGCTTTTACAAACAATGCCACAGTGAATAACCTTGTCCCTTCTTAACTTCTGTAGGTATATCTGTAGAATAGATTCCTAGAAAGGAGATAGCTGGTCAGAGATTATGTGCATCTGTAATTTTATTGGATATTGCCAGATTTTCCTCCACAAGGTTTATATTCGTTTCCTGTGGCTTATGAGACAAATTAGCACAAACTTAGTGGCTTGCAACGGCACATATTTATTCTCTTACAATTCTGGAGGTTAGAGGAAGCCTGAAATCAGTTTCATTGGGCCAAAACCAAGGTGTGGGCCAACTACTCTCCCTCTGGAGGCTCTAGGGAAGAATCCATTTCCTTGTCTTGGCCAGCTCTAGAGCTGCATTCCTTGCATTCCTTGGCTCAAGACCGCTTCTTCCATCTTCAGAGCTAGCAGTGTAGCATCTTCAGATCTCTCTCTGCTTCTTGGTCATATCACGTTCTCTTCTGTTTCCAGAGTCAAATCTCACTTTCCATTCCTGTTACAAGGACGTTTGTGTTTACATTGGAGGATAAACCAGGATAATCTCTCCATCTCAAAATCCTCAATTTAGTCATATCTTCAAAGCCCCTTTTGCCATATAAGGCTACATACACAGGTTCCAGGGAATTGTTGTTAGGTGTCGTTGAGTCAGTTTCAACTCATAGTGACCCCTGTGTACATCAAAATGAAACACTGCCCAGTCCTGAGCCATCCTCACAGTCCTTGTTATGCTTGAGCCCATTGTTGCAGCCACTGTGTCAGTCCATCTCAATGAGGGTCTTTCTCTTTTTTGCTGACCCTGTACTTTACCAAGCATTATGTCCTTCTCCGGGGACTGCTCCCTGGAGATAACGTGTCCAAAGTATGTGAGACAAAGTCTCGCCATCCTTGCTTCTAAGGAGCATTTTGGCTGTGCTTCTTCCAAGACAGATTTGTTAGTTCTTCTGGTAGTCCCTGATATATTCAGTATTCTTCACCAGCACCATAATTTAAAGGTATCAATTCTTCTTCGGTCTTCCTTATTCATTGTCCAGCTTTCTCATGCTTATGAGGTGATTGAAAACACCATGGCTTGGGTCAGGCGCACCTTAGTCCTTAAAGTGACATCTTTGCAGTTTAACACTTTAAAGAGGTCTTTTGCAGCACATTTGCCCAATGCAATGCGTCATTTGATATCTTGACTGCTGCTTCCATGGGCATTGATTGTGGATCCAAGTAAAATGAAATCCTTGACAACTTCAGTCTTTTCTCCGTTTATCATGATGTTGCTTATTGATCACACTGTGAGGATTTTTGTTTTCTTAATTTTAAATATCCGATGTTGAAATTTCTCCGGATGCCCCGTATGTATGTATATATATACTGCATTTTGTTTGTTGTGATATCTACTTTTTTGTATCGAAGTATCTAAATAAGCCTTACTCATTATAACTATTATGTGTAGTTTTAAAATTGTAGCCTTTAGTCGATCTGAAGTTTATTTTGGTATTGGTATGAACTGTGAGCTTTAAATGAGAAAATGCACGTAAAAATGTTTAGGACTATGCTTAGCCTATGTTAAGTGTAAATATTTACTACTATTATTGTCTTTCCCCTTGGTTTGACTAGCCAGATATTTTTCAATCTTATTGTTCATTTGTTTTCAAGGAGCCAAATATCACTTTATTTGCTCTACTTATTTTTTAATTTCTGTAATTCATTAATATCTGCTTTTATCTTTATTCTTTCTTTCACTTCCTTTTAGTTTGTTTTGCTTATCTTCTAATATCTTGAATTCATTTTTCTAAAAATGTTTATTGCATATCTTCCACACGCCTGGCACTGTGCTATGTGTTGGCAATATAACGGCCAGCAAAATAAACATGGTCATTGTCCTCAGGAAGCTTATAGTCTGGTAGTTTTCAGCAGACTCAATTTTTAATTCTTTTTTGGTTGTTGTTTAATAATAAAAGGAGCCCTGGTGATGCAGTGGTTAAAGCAATCAGCTGCTAACGGAAAGGTTGGTGGTTCGAAACTACCAGCCACTCTGAGGGAGAAAGATCTGGCAGTCTGCTTCCATAGAGATTAGAGCCTTGGAAACCCTATGGGGTCACTATGAATTGGAATCCATTTGATGGCAGTGGGTTTGGTGAGTTAAGGTTGAATAATAAATGAACTTTTATATATTATAGCTTTTCCTACTAGTGTAGATTTGGCTGTATTTTATGATTTTTGTTATGGAGTGTTCTCATTATTATTGCATAAATAATTTCTAATTATTGTATCATGTGTAATCACCCGAAATAATTGATATTCAGTTATTTTTAACTTATAGAAATGGCAGTTTTATGTAACTCAACCTAAATAATTTTTATTTCTTCTTGGACTTATAGATTATATAGGAAATTGTTTCTTAATTTAAGAAGTTGGGTTTAGTTTAAACTTTTTATCATATGTAGTTTTATCGTATTGTGGCTGGATAACTTTATTGAGATTTTCCATATGTCTTTATAGGTGGTCTGATTTTGAAAATATTCTGTAAAGTACGTAAAAAGAAATTGTATTCTTTTTGTGGTTTACAAAGTTTGGTGTAATTCTGTTAAATCAGTCTTATTGATTATGATATTCATACCTTATATAAATTAATATTTTTCCTTATTTGATAGTCTGAGAGGTTTGCTGCTATCTTGGGCCGCTATCTTTTTTGTCAGTTACTCTTTCTATTCTAAAAACTTTATGTTTCGATATAGTGTTATTCAACATATAAAATTTAGTGTGTTATTTCCTTTGTGGATTTTACCTTTTACAGTATCAAATAACTTCCATATCCTGTTTAATGCAATTTTGTTCAGAATTACTTTTGCTTTTATTAATATTTGCCAGGTATATCTTTACTCGTTATTTTAATTTAAAGCATTGTGTGTCATATTGATTTAGGTATGGCCTTTTGTAAGTACAGCACACAGTTAACTCATCACTCAGCATCTTGAGGTATAGCTCATGTTTACTCTCATGTCTGTTGTCTTGTTTTAATTGTGTCTTGTGTTTAACTGGCACTTAATAAATTTGTTCAATTGAATTTTACTGCAATGATAATTACTTCTTTTTCTCTATTATGTTATGTGGAGTCTACTTTCTTTGCTTCTTTTAAAATAGTGTTTTGGAAGGTTAGTTTTTAAGTGTTTAATTTTATTGGTTATCTTTAGATT